TTAATAGGTGATGAGTTTGATGATACAGAGAAGAAAAAGGTTTTGTCAAAAGCAAACAGGGAAAAAATTGCTTCAAATACCACGTGAATAAAAGCTTATTTGGCCCCATGTTATAAAAATGTTCTGGCTAAACCCTAAGAAATAGTCGGGGGGGGAAATTTCAGCTTCTGAATTCTCGGTTAATTGAATCCCCGCTCTAGGTATTATTTCAAGACGTCCCATATATTCTTTCTTACTAATAGATGATGATTACAGAAACCTCATCCAAATATTTAATCCCGCCTAGATATGTTTACAAGTGATATAATTGTCTCCTTAATACAGCTGCATCCCTTTTTGGAGGACAACTAAATCTCTGTGTCTTTTGTTAAAAGAAGTGCTTTCCCTTTAAAAAACTAGGTTCTAGAACCACTAAAACCTAAATCTAGTAAATGGAGAAGTACGTCAAGACCTTTTTTATTTCTTTTATTCCAAATGACCCTCATAGCACACAGGCTGACGAGAGATACGTACTTTTTCCTATGCTTATCAACTTGGATGCTCTGCCCAGCCCAAAACTCTTTTACCTATTGAATTTGCAATCACCCCACTCAAACCAAGGAAGTCAAGTGTGGTACACGAGAGACATTGGGGAAGGGAATACACAAAAGAAGACAGCCTGGTGTCTAAGCTGCCTCTTGAACAAAAAGCATGGATCGGCAAGAATCTTCCACTCTTTTTTGAAGATTATCAATAGTGGGCATTCTCTTTTTCACCACATTCCATGCGAAGACAATTCTAGGGGTGCATTGAGCATCCAGACACTCTTCCAAGGAAATTCATAATGAGACATGCTAAGCTTCCAGACACTCTTCCAAGGAAATACATAACGAGACATGCTAAAATAAGTAGGTGCAAATAGAGAGATTTCACCAGGAAGGAGCTGCTAGCGACCAACTTCCGTAACGGTTTACCATTATGTCAAGGGGTACTGAAGCAATTAAGATACTGAAGGATAATAAGGCATCAGCACTTCGAACATACATCATTAACATGGAACCTAGTTATTATGGTCTTTGAGACTGACTTAGAGACTCAAAATGATTCAGGGTTCACGAAAAAGGCATCAGAAAAATGAACCCTGATCCAATTGCACTTGATTATTGAAACATCTTTCTTGAATAATCAATCTTTGTGATTGAAACATTGTTCTTCCTCTTACCACCTTATAAGTTATTTTGAAGGAAAAGAACAAAGATTGAAGGATTTATTGCTCCAAACCCTGGGGTTTTTTATAAATGGTCATCCTCTCAATACCTGTGAGGATCTTGGAGTTTTGATTAACTTTTTGACTGATTTATGAAGTTTTTGTATGTGGGCTGTAGCTCCTTGATGCTTATACATAATATATTAATTTTTCCTTTCGAACAAAAAAAAATAACAATTGCATCAGGATGAGGGTCAACCAATACATAAGGTAAGGTTTCAGTCTGATTATAGGTGTGACAGGGGAGCTCTAAATCAGTGGTTCCCCATAGAATTCTATCTAGCTAGAAGAGGTGTCAATTAAGAAGAAGACACCCTCTTCATCTTTTAGCCAATGGGCAAGCAACTGACCTTGTAAGAAATCAGAATAACTAGGAGGTTGATGAACATGATAAGTCTCCTTCAACACCTAACAATCTTCAATGTGCGACTAGATGGGAATCATAAATCAGTTGCAAGTTGCACGCTAGTGGTTCCTTCACCGTGAAATCTTTCCACATCCACCATGCTCATTCTAGCTCAGCCCTCAATGATTTCCCTCTGTTGGAAGCTTATCTAGAAGCTTAATATGTCCCCTAGAATTTTTTTTAAAAAATAAATGTCACCTGGAATTATGTTCATCACCTAAGAGGCCGTAAAAGAGAAATTTCTCACTATTGACAATTTTAAGAAAAGGAGAAAGTGATGCAAAATAGGAAAATTCTTGTGTTGCCATAGTTCAATAATAGAGATATAATGTGGAAATAATAAAGGAAAATAAACATTTTGGGAAGTTTATTTTACAGTAAAAAGTATAGGAAGATTTAATTTTCTTTCATAGTTTTGAAAAGTTTTACAATTAAAGGAAAATAAGAAGATTTAATTTCCTTTTTCTAAGTGTTCTCCTATTTCTTTCTATTTGGCTCATTTCTTTTTTTTTTTAAAATCTCCTATTTTAATCATATTTGATGCCTATAAATAAAGTATCCTAGTTAAGTTGTTTAGCAAACTATTAATTATTATTATTCAAATTGAGATATTGTATTTGATTATTGACATTCAAGATATCTAAAATTTTCGTTCTTAATAAAATTTCTCTAAGTTCTGTTTTCAAGCTTTCTTTCCTCTACATCAGGAATATTCTAGTCAATGGATACTTCTTGTGCGTGAAGACAGGTGAGGCACCATATAATTTTCTTTCATGATTTCCTTTATCCTTCTGCCCCTGGTGCACAATCCTTGAGTTCATTGATTTGAGTTGGAAGATGACAACCTCTGGAGCTAAAGAGATTTGCGCATGGTGGGGCATCTAAGTGAAGAAGTGTATGCACAAATTCATCTCTCTTATCCCTTTGGCTGCCTTGTGGGTCATTTGGAAAAAAAAGGAATAGAAGCGCTTTCTTGAGGGTTTAGTCTTTCCACATATCAGATTCAGGGATTTATGGTTCCACACCATAGGTTTTTGTTTAAAGGTCATGATTTCCTTTATCCTTCTGCCCCTGGTGCACAATCCTTGAGTTCATTGATTTGAGTTGGAAGATGACAACCTCTGGAGCTAAAGAGATTTGGGCATGGCGGGGCATCTAAGGGAAGAAGTGTATGCACAAATTCATCTCTCTTATCCCTTTGGCTGCCTTGTGGGTCATTTGGAAAAAAAAGGAATAGAAGTGCTTTCTTGAGGGTTTAGTCTTTCCCCATATCAGATTCAGGGATTTATGGTTCCACACCAAAGGTTTTTGTTTAAAGGTCATCTTCTTACTTGTAATGAAGAATTTGGGACCTCATAGATATTCTAATTGATTTCTGAGTTTTTTTTTTCTTCTCTCAAAACAGGGATGGGTAAGACTCTGAATATCACATTTTGTCTTAAAAATTCAACATCTCTCACTAAGTGAAAAAAAAAGTTCATCAAGACAGCTACTTGAAGTAAACATAAACAGATCTCAGCCAACAAGAAACCAATATCTTTACTTATCAACTAAAAAGGTACTAATGACGTTTGCAGATTAATGTTGATAACCTGACTCTTAAGATACGGTTGTAGCGTGATCACAAATTGGATAGGGTCAGAGGCAGGCATGCAGAGTCCTGGGTCCACAACACAGAAAGCATGCAACACCAGCACAAATGGAAGTGCACGCACCTCACCTTCCTCTCTGCTCATTTCCTCCACCTGACAGAAAATAATTACTTATGATATTCGGAAACAAACCAAAAAGCCACTAGCCATTAACATCAAATCAATAAGCACCTGCCATATCCTTTCCAGTAGGCATTGGCACATCAAACTCACAGCGCCTACGTACTGAGGCAAGTTGCACAGGGTTGATCCCAGCAGCTTTAGCTGACTGAGGAAAAAAAATCAAGGGCCAAATTGCGCTTGATAATAGTAACAAGAAACTGATGATTTC